CCTACGTTAAGTCCAGCACAGAGGTACCGATGTTGGTACAGTCGTCAGGATTCAAGGCCAGAAAAGGACAGATTTAAGATAAGTTTGAGGGACTTTGCTGGCACTGTAACAAACCTGGGCACAAGAGAGCTCAATGCCGGAAACATCAACACAGGGGAGATGATACAGCAGGAAAGGCTGCTACCCAGAAAGGCTGTTGGAACTGTGGGGAGCAAGGACATCTGAGGAGCCAGTGTAGGAAGAATATTACCAACAAGTTGGCCTCAAGGAGACCAGTAGTGGTTGGTGTTGAGCGATGCCCACCAACCCCCATCACGAAAGTCCCAACAGCTAGATGTAAAATGCCAAACACACACAGTGTCTATGTGACAGGAAAGCTAGATGGTCAAAGGTGCAACTTTGTCATAGACTCTGCGTCCCAGCAAACCCTTGTGAGCATCAAGGTGTTAAATCACGAAGGAGTACCAGAAGCCATATAGAAGCTTTATGGTGTGGCAGGACATTCTGCAAGGTTGTGGGAACCAGTGTGGGTAACTATTGAGCTCATGGGCATAAAGGACAGACAGAAAGTATACTTGGCTGACATTGAAGACCAACGCATATTAGGATTGGACTATCTACTACCGAGAAAGTTTGTAATTGATTTTGATAAAATGACGTTTGGGAACAACAAAGGCCAAGTTCCAGTAACTGTTAAAAGAGTGGTTGAACTAGCCAGGTGCCATCAAGCTGAAGTCAAGCCGACTGAAGGAGTTGATGATGGTGAAGTGGAACCAAATATAGATATCAAAGCAGAACAGGAGAAAGACTAAGATTTGAAGCCAATAATTGATTTCCTAAAAGCAAGTATTTTGCACCTTGCTTGGGAGAAGGTGTCTAGTCTAAGCCCTGTGACAAAGAACTATTGGGCACAATGGGACCAGTTGAAGCTTGAAGATGGTATTCTTCTCCGGAGATGGGAAACTACAGATGGGAAAGTGACGACCTGGCAAACGGTTATTCCGAGAAAGTTAGGGGAAGTTGTGCTGCATCAATCTCATGAGAGTTTAACAAGAGGACATCTCGGAGTTAAGAAAACATTGAGTCACCTACGACACAGATTTTACTGGATAGGTATGAGACAAGATGTGGAAGAATGGTGCAGGACATGCAGTACATGTTGTGCTAAAAGGGGATGCCCACCTTATGAAGAGTTGCCTGAGAATGTGTTAGAGTTTGTGAAAGTGTTATCAGAAAGGATGGATGATATTTACCATCAAGTGCGTTCAATCTTGAAAACTTCTGCTGATTCGATGAAGTTATCTTATGATAAGAGATCTACTGAAGTCAGCTTTGAACCAGGAGACAAGGTGTGGTTGTATAATCCCAGGAAGACAAAAGGACGAGTCTCCTAAGTTGTCTTCTTCATGGGAAGGCCCATATGACATAGTGGATCATCTCTCAAACGTGACTTTCCATATAAAATGTGGTCGGCAAGGTAAGCCAAAAGTGGTGCATGCCAACAGGCTTTGGCATTATCACGGTCCAGGACATTTCAGTTGGGACGAAGTGAACAACAGAAAAAATGACGCTGCTGAAGACGTATCACCTGAAAAAGCCACTGTGGAAGAAGAAACTCTATTCAGTTTTGAGAAGAGAAACGGTGAAGCTCTTGATGAAGTTACTACCACTGATGTGACTGTTACCGACGATAGGACATATCCTGATGAAGCAGATGAACCCCAGGTGAAGCAGAAGCCAACGAGACGGAGACCAGTACGGAAGAAGATACGTCCGTAAAATTAAGAGACTTTGTTGAATTGTAATATTGTGTTTGTAATTCTGTACATTTAATTAAGTTGTTGTTAATTGTTATTGGTTTAATGTAAGATGCTGTAGTTCGGGACGAACAATACTAAGGAAGGGGCAGTGTTACGACAACGCAGGTCACGTGATGCTTGTATCATGCCCCTTCCTTCTCGAACCTT